GAAACTAACTGACAATTGACGTTTCGGGCGACATTGGCAACGCATTATCCGTGTAGCATGGTTTAACTTAACGCACTTGCTCWTCGGTAACCAAGTTTCTTAAAATGACCTTGTGAAATACGCTGTGAAACGTCTGTGAAATGGCTTATGATGGAAGTTTCATAATTACGTTTCGAACAGCACTTTAAGCATGCGTAAAAAGCTATCAYACCTCGTTTTCACAAACGCTGTTCAAATTCCCTTTAACCGAGCACTTTCCATTGGACAAACAGCAACTGTCTTGGTTACATTCCTCATCACTTTTACAGTCTTTTCCCTAAAATTAAAACAGTAAGTTTGAATCGTTTTGAAGATTGAGAGATTGGCCCACTAGCCGTTCTTATCGACCCGACACGCAAGTGAACTCGGGAGAGGTTAGTTCGTTCATAGTCATATAGAGAGGACGCTCTTCTCTATTAACTATGGCTCATTGCTGACGCTTATAACGACATTCCTTTAAAACAAACAATCAAAATGATGATAAAAACACAATTCAGGCACTAAAACTAACTATAACCTTACAGCTAAATATATTKKTAGAGGTTTGATTCTAAATTTTGATAATTTTTGGGTCGCAAAATTTAYGACATTGAATTTCATTCTGYTTTTTGCAAAAAAGACTTCTCTGTTTACTCTAACCTCTCTTGTCCATGCTCGAGGAAGTTCATGCTCGAGGAAAATCATTCATGGAAAATTGTTCATGCTCGAGGAAGTGAAAGGCTAGTTGATSGAGACCCAGCCATTCTCAACTAAGATTGAGCAGATTGACTTACCGAGACACTCTTTGCCAAGAATACCAACAGTACAAATATGTATGCCTTCATTCTCTGAAATGCTTTATCACGATGATCAGACTCTTGTTGTGTAGMCCCACAAATAAAGCGACCACCTTCAATTTTCTTTGCAATAAAGTGACTGCTAGTCGATTGGATGAAAATTTTAATTATCGATATTGCCATTTATTTGCCAAGCTGAACAAGCACAACGGTAGAAAACGATAATTCGTACTCATAGATATGTTTGTTTTTGACGCCTGTGTGTGTACTTGATTATGAGAATTATGTTTCACATGGCGATTAAGAATGTTTATACGCCGATTTTCAACTGAGGTAACTCAAAAAAGGAGCCATATTGAATAGTATTATGGTCTTCTCTAYATTTAGATGCATGTTTAGTTTTATCTTCAGTCTTATCTTAGGTTGATTGACACTAAGGTATGTGYAATTATTATACAATATTTGCTAGTTAAGGTTTTTTCATGCCCGAAATAATCAATAAAAAAACGGCAAATTGGATATAAAGATTTCGTGATACATGTCAGACAACAACACCGCTGACTACAAAAGCATGCAGACTTAGCAGGTGGTTTAAAAGCTATTGTAGCTTTTCCGCCTGTGCATGTCAAAGTATATGGAAATTAAATGCATGAAAACATACATGGCTTAAACGTTATCTAAGAAGACATGGAGTTACTAGATATCAACACCGATCACTTTGCTATAGTGGCATCACTTCTACCATTCTTGTCGACCGTTATCTGTGTTATTTGTTCTTTGGTTCTGCACTTTGATCAAGCGACAACAACTCACTGTCGAGTACGTAAGTAGCCATCGACTTGAACGTGCACCTCTACTTTTATTTCTTACAAGATGTAATTAATTGCGATGAAACGCTGACAGTGAACTTGTACAGAAAGTACGAAATATTTGATATTTCTTCAAGACCAGTCAGTTTTGAATAATTTCTTCAAACTAGTGTTTTTTTATATATATAATCAACAAAGTACATGTCAAAATAATTTCAATGAATACATTAGCGCGTCCTTAAMAACGTCACATATAAACCTTGAAATGGTTAAGTTTTTTTCCTTAATATATTAATAATTATATTAATTATTATAATAATATTTTTTACTTGAACCTGTATGGACATAATGCGGTAAGTGGACACATATGCTCACTTGCAAACGACACTTCAGAAATCATTATGCACGACATGTTTTGAATATTGTTTCTTTATCCTTTCTTGAGTCGTAGGCTTATATCTTCCGTAAAATGGAGTAGTAGAAGAGCAGATAACAATGTTGTACAACGATCTAAACAATAAGTTTATTGACTTCTTCCTATTCCTCATGGAAATTGATAYTTCGGTTGAGTGAAATCCATCACAACACGAGAAAACTGATTATTGTTTGTTTATGGATACTTTCTGTAGTTCTCTTTTGCTTTATATGTCAACATTGAATGGTCTATCTCTTAATATTTACAATAATAACCCAAACAATTACATGGGATTTCAGAATTCTGACTTTGATTAAGTGTGTTGTTTTGTATATCACGCGATAAACCTCTGTCACGCAATACTCACAAAAAGAGAATGGCGTCTTCTCACTCGACATAAACGTTTGAAGAATAACACAAGAATAACTCTAAAATATAATTTTTCTTTTGACATTTAAAGCACAAGAAACTACGACTTTTTAGTTCCTTATTGCTATGCTTTTTCACTATGCTTAGCGCTATAGTGTTTTTATATTTCACATTTATGCTTGCCTAGGTATAGTGCAAACCAGCCTTAATAAAAAGTGTTGTTTATTTTTAGGTTGCAAATTACTTACCTTCAATAAGTGCAGCCACCGGCGATTACTCCCCAGAAAAGTATATCTGGAGAGTTGGGATTGGGTACCATTCCTCACTTCGATTGTTTGGAATAGCATTAGAGTTTAATTTGTTCTTCCTCAAGGCCTCGCATCAAACTAGAGCGAAGACGTCTTTTATGCTTTTGAATAAACTGAATACATTTTGTTACACATTRGAAAACTTTGCTCTTGTTCTTCTCACTTTCGTGTCCGCCGATGAAAATTATGGTGAGTACCCATTCGACCGTTAACAACGTTTACGATAACATTTATGGTAAACTAAAGGCCGCCAAACTTAGCTTGTTCCTGGCGTTTTACGTATGTCTTAAACGTAAGGCTAAATGTACAGACGTTTTTTAAAACATTGAGTCCTATCTACCCTACTCTTAGTCTTACCACTCTAGGCCTTCTTACGTCTTCCCCAGGGAGTAGGGGTGAGCAGAGATTGACTCCCTAGCACAAACTTAGGGCACTATACCTTGGTCGTCATTGATTTGTGATCGTTTTTCTTKACAGAAATCCATGAAAAAAGTTTCATCGTATTTATGGTCACTAGTATGCTACATATGCTGTTTTCATGTATACTCTATCACTGGACGTGCCAGGTGCCTGCTAAGAATAAGGTATTKTTATTCTTCGAATCAAAGAGGGAAAGTATGGTGAATAATCTCTATTCCTGTGAGAATAACCCTCATAGTAAATTTTGAGCATGAAATATCGATATGAAAATCATACATGCTTGAACTAATGTATTTTCATTAAGTTTCATCACAATTTTTATAGGAAGTTTGGATATTAAGAAAGAAGGTGTCTATTCTGTTGGCCAATTACAGTTGTTTTGCTCTTGCAATCTACTTTTTCTTCAGGCATAACTGGTATTGCGAAAGTGGTGGTATCCTTTTTACCATTCGTTGCACATAACTTTCATGGAAATTTAAAAAAAATAACAATCGTACTTTCTTGAGCCTCATCTGTCAACTTCATATCAKTTTTCATACTTCCAAACTGATCTGGGAGAAACAACAATTTCCTTTTAAAACATATATGTAAGATAGTTTCATGGCTAACGAAAATTGCAACATAGCGCGCATAGGTACGACGAAACTCCAGTTTCGAATTCTCCAATGCTCTGTGTTAGCCTCATTTGGGCGCAAAATATTCCTTATTTTGAGCGTAAAAGTGTGAGATTTCAAATCAAATYTATTGTCTTCTCAAATTCCATGCGTTTTCTCGAGCTATTAATGAAACAAAAGGATATGTTACTTGGTTTTGAGGCTAACACAGAGCAAACCAGAACTCGAAATTGGAGTACATGAATGATTTTGCAGATAATAGGACGTGTTAACGTAAAATTTGCGAAGGCATGCTGATATAAGTGTAGAATCTCAGTTATATGATGTTTTTCCTTAATGTAGTTTCCAGTCTACACTCTTTTTGCTTTCTGCGAATATATGGCTGTCTTTTCTAACATATATTTTAACTATTCAATAATTGACGACATCAAGGGCCAGGCAAGATTAAAATTATCCTGTCATCAGTTCAATTCCAAAACTCAATAAAATACACCCCAACAAATACAATGGCGTAAAAGAATTCAAATATCGCATAATTGACACTCTCACTTGCCCATGAAGTTGAAGCAAACTGGCCAACGCTGCTACATTTTCACGATATCTTTTGAAGTTGTCCGATTGTCAAGTCCGTAAACATTGTTATTTCTAAGAATCTTCATTTAAATACCTGTATATGTCTAGTGTGGCCAATAAAAACAATTTAATTTTTTTAATTGGTTTTATTCGTCATTTATCTACTCGTAATACACACTTCCAAATCATAGAATGTTATTTACATCAATTTTCTACTTATACAACCATAACGTGGGCTAACAAAGTGAGCTTGCATGTCTGATTGCTTGTTAGATCATCATCATTGCAAATGTTCTGTAGATGAATTTATTTCAAAGACGGTGATTGGTTTTTGCAATCGTTTGATATGCACAAATCGCTGGGATTGTACGTCAAAATGTATAACCTTAATATTTCCTTTTATCGACGCTATCTCTATTCAACAATTGTCTTACGCCGTTGCCCTCAACTGTTGCTTCCAGAATTCAAGATATTCCATACCACGAGCAGGATGCCCCAGTGCCCGGAGGGGGGACTCCCTAATATCAAAGGGCGAGGTCCTCGGCGTCCCTTTTAGGGTTTGAAATCGGTATTTTGGTCCCGCTTAGGGTGATAATGACGAGAATTCCAACTAACTGAGTTTTGTGGTCCCTTTTAGGGTATGTGGCGTACCTAAACCGTCATTATGAGATCAAAAACCACAGCTGCTAATTAGATGAGTGATTTTATTTTAATCAGTTTCACGTCTTGTCACTTAACACTCCTTAATAGACGAGATTATTGGTCCCTTTTAGGGATGAAATTTCAGCACTGCAACGCCCATCATCTCCAAATACAGGTCCCTCTTAGGGCTCATTTTCATAATTTCCGCAGAGGACCCCCGCCCTTTGATATTAGGGAGCCCCCCCCGGGTCCCAGTGACTACGAGCAATGCGCTTAACAAACCACGTACACATAACCCATATGGACGCTAAGAACACAGATTCAATATTTGAACTGCTTTTATTTATCATCTATCTACTTGTAATTAATACAATGTCCAAATCATAGAATGTGATTAAGATTGATTTTCTACTTATACAACCATAACTTGGGCTAGCAAGGTCATCTTGATTGATGAACCACTGGTTGCAAAGATGTGGACTTTGACCTCTGTACCAACTGGAGTAGAGCTAGGGGCGGTAAGGTAGATGGGCACGTATCCAACTTTTCCTGCTCTTGCTTTCACAGAAAGACTACAACGACTACATTTCACATTTGAAGGCGTAACRGAAACTCTGACGTTGAAGGTTTTATCTCCTTTGCCAGAGTAGTCAATAGCTGCKCGGAAGGATGATTTTCGTCCTCGTTTGATGGTCAGGAGGCTCTGATGGATCTGAGTGCGGATGACGGCYTCTTGTGGCCTTATCTCTTCACGTGACATTCTTTGGAACTGTTGTCCAGTGCTGGTWYTCCCCGACAGACGGATTTTAAAGGGTTCAGAGGGAGTATCGAAGGAGATCATCTCATCTTTAACTGACAACGATTTAATTGATGCACCATGTTTGTCCACGAGATCAGCTTTCAGGGAATCTGGTTTAAGGCGTGCAATGTTGGGAATCACGATTTTAACGTTTGCTTTCTCACCTGTATGTCAATAAAGAGTGAATGAGAAATAGTCGGGAATATCAGCTCATCACTAACTCACTACTTTCACTAAGCAGCAAAATTCTTTTACCAATGAAAGAAGCTGTGGATCATGAAATAACACAATGACTTGACTTCAGCCTATTATCACAACATTGATGACAAACTGATAGTCCTTGCATAAGTTTCCAACGTTTTTCTTTCGGAAAGGCTTTTGGATGTATTTGCMTTTGAGAGAAATTTCTTACCAATAAGAGGRTTTGGTATTGGTACTACCATCTTGGACGGATTAAGTGTCCTTACAAACATCTGGTCGAATTGGATGTTGGAAATGGCACTTGCTTTGATCTAAAAACGAATTTAAACATATAAACATGTCATGGAGATAATAGCAATTACTTATACATGACAAATACCTGATAAGACAGGTCACGAACATATGAGGGTACGTTCAGCGACCATTTTCCATTCTTTGGACTGTTAATAACCCATAATTTCCCATTGTTCATGTTCATGGTATGAGCCACGTCTTTCCCGGCGCTGTCAAGGACTTTAACGCTTTTCCAGTTTGAACTGGCTGATATGGAGATTATCAACTTTGCAACGCTACTATCGACAGGAAACGGAACATTCTTCGAGCTGCGCGCCCAAAGACTGGAAAGATGTCTTCGACCTCGTCTTTTTTTCGAACTTCCACCAGAAGCGATGATGGTTGAGCCGTCTAGGTCTGCTGCTACAATCACATCAGCACTGCCAATGGCTGAGGAATCGGAAAAGAAGAGACTCAATCCACCAGTGTCTTCCATGATGGCTTGGTAATCAGTGCTAGCTGAAGGATTTCCACATCCTCGGGTGCTGAAGAAAAAGTTCACTGGCATCATGTAATCAAGCGCGTAACCAATGGCGTTATCTCTGTTGTATTCGCCTCTTGTTTTTGGAGGAGCATCGGTGAAGACGTACATTGGGGAGCCTGGAAGTGGTTCCCCAACCTTAATAGCATTAATGATTCCATTGAACGCCAATTCTGGGCAATCTCCTCCACCTCTTGCTGAGAGACCTTGAATTGCCCTTTCAAAGCCAGCACGTTTTTCGTAATTGAATTTGCTAACAGGTCCGGAACCTAAAAGATGAAGTCTTTGTTAAGAAATCTAACGTGTGAAAATATACAGAAATATTTTGAACTTTAAAATGTATTTTGGTCCACAATATCCACCTGGATCGTTGTAGGGGGAAAGRATGTAATCTACTTTTCCTTTCCTCTTATACTTTGCAATGGATATGGCAATGGCTTTGGCAGCGTTAATTTCGTCTTTCATACTTCCAGTAGTGTCGATAGTAAATACAAGTGATACATCTCCATCCACAGCAAGGAAGTCCTTTAAAAAAATAGATTTAATTTATCAAGTATAAATTAAAATATTTCACAGGCATTTTGTTATAAGGACAGTAATTTTGAAATGAATTTTGAATCCTTTTTCTTCGGCATTTACCTTAAATTTATCCTCTCCAAGTTTGTCTTTGATTTGCTTGATAATCTTATCTCCAGTGCCGTGACAGTCTTCTTCTTTTTCAAGAATGAACCCGAGCATTGTTCKCGCGTAAATATATCCCTTATGGTTCATAGCATTCTCAATCCTTTTGATCAATTCCTCCTTGTTTACTTTTACATTCCTTGGGATTCCTTTCGCAGCTCCCATACCTTAGGAAAGGGATCATTGTTCTGATTGTTAGAACACACCSATGATTTAAACAGATCGACAAAATTGATGAGTGGAAGCAATTCCTGTTTGGCTAATGAAATATTTTGTCATCATTTGGTCAATACTTTTCTTGAACTGAAATGAAGTGACAAATTCAAGTTCATTAATRTTCTTACTTTTGATAACTTGATACAGAGCTCCAATAAGGTGATTGTTTACTTCCACGCTTCCCTTTGGTAGAGCGTCCAGGACATACTGGACAATGTCATCGATACTGCAAGGCTCTGGTAAAAATAAAGACTTCATGTGGTAAGGAATTGGTCAAATGCTGCATTTGAAGTTAGGTGAGGGAGATTTTGTCGTCCCAGGAAATCGAATGATATCAGAAAATAAGCGGGACCTGATTCTTTAGTTTAGTTCTGATCCTAATTCATCCTAAAACACAATGATTGATGGTTTGAAACATATGGTACGTTGTTTATTGATGGTATCAATCTACCTGGTTTGCATTTGTCAGTATTGCATTTTYTTGTCTCTTTATCTGATCCAACACAATTCTTTCCTCCGTKATCAGGTTTGGGGTTGGTACATGTTCGAGTTCGTGTCTGTATTCCACCACCGCAYTTCTTGCTGCAAGATGACCAGGAAGAGAAGTCGCTCCATCCTCCATCAACTGTGAGTTTCAAAAGAGCAATAAAAAATTTATCGAAACCTTAATATGTGGAGCAAAAAAGGGTTTTGCAATCTCAAATTAGACTACCTGAGCCGATTTAATCTGTCTCTCTTTTTTTTATTGGATTTTTGAATTTAAACTTTGATTTCACTAAAAGACATACCTGGACATGGCTTTCCGTTGCATTTTCTTGTCTCTTTATCTGATCCAACACAGTTCTTGCCACCGTGAGCAGGTTTTGGGTTAGTACAAGTACGAGTTCGTGTTTGTGTTCCACCACCGCATTTCGTGCTGCAAGCTGACCAGGCAGAGAAGTCGGTCCAGCCTCCATCAACTGATAAGTTCAAAAGCAAGTATTCATAACCGGAAGAGATACAGCATTTTGTATTGTGATAATTTATAGCTCAATCTGAACGAAGCAACTCAGCATTGTTTTGAATTCATATTTACTGATCTTTCGTACCCGAACATGGTTTTTCGTTGCATTTTCTTGTCTCTTTATCTGATCCAACACAGTTCTTGCCACCATGTGCAGGTTTTGGGTTCGTACAAGTACGACTTCGTGTTTGTGTTCCGCCACCGCACTTCTTGGTGCAAGTTGACCAGGCAGAGAAGTCGGTCCAGCCCCCATCAACTAATAGGTTCAAATTCAAGAAAAAAACTGAAGCCGATAAAGAAAGTATAGTTTTGGAGGATTGTTGAATATTAACGTCTGAACGGTTTAATTTCTCTCTTTTTTTTTGTATTTTTTAATTTAAACTTTGATTTGACATAAAGGCATACCTGAACATGGTTTTTCGTTGCATTTTCTTGTCTCTTTATCTGATCCAACACAGTTCTTGCCACCATGTGCAGGTTTT